GGAGAGCTCGAAGGCGATGATGCTGATTTTGACAATTTTCGCTCGGACAAAAGCGCCTGCATGAATCTCAAGTCTTCAACTGTACAACTGAAAACGGAGCTCAAAGCTTTAAAGCAAAAGAGGATTTCAAGTACCGTCCAACGGATACCAAAATGTACGTGTATATACGGATGCAAAGTTTTGCACCCCGCCTAAAGCATGCCACGTATTACGCGGCCAATGCTTTTCCGAAAACTTTGTGACTTCTAAAGCCACCTGTACCGGCGCTAGCAGAACTAGTGGGACGGCTTTCGTAGTGCAAGAAAACAAACTGTCACGAGGCTCCGGTGAGAAAAGAACGCTAAGTGCAAAAGCAAGTGTCGCACGCTCCACGTGCTTAGTTCACAGCTGTCTATGTACCATAATGTACACAAGCTAATTTTATCGACAAAATGCCGGCTCAAGTCCTGTGCACCGTAAGCTTTGATGCACGCAAATGGACTCACTCACACATGCCCTGTGCGACGTAAACATTGAAGCACGTAAATGGGCTCATATGCAATCGTTGCTCACTTGGTTTTCTCATCTCCATGATACACACGATGCGGATTGCAAAAGCTGCATGGCTTCAAACCCTTGGCGATCGCATTCGACTCTTCAAGCTCAGTCACCTCAAGGGATTGATTCAATTTGCCACATCCAATCATGTGGTACTTCTTTCCAAACTCGCTTGCAATCCAAACTGGGTGCTCGATCTTTGTGGTGGATCGCTTGCGCCGTTGCTTGATCATCACTTCTTCGCCTGTAACCGAACCAGAAGAACTCTTAGAGCTGGAACGGCTTGCAACATCGATTGGGTCCTTCATCTTCTCATCCCGGAGCGGCTTATCAAAGCTCTTGATCACAACCGTGGGCTGGCTGCGCATACACATGATCGTACCAATCACGGCCACCGTGAAAAGGTACAAAATCATCAAAGTCATCAATGGAAACTCGATGAACATAAGAGCATACACAGTTGCAAACGTGTCCATGCCGCTGCCAAAGCTCAAGGCGCTTCCAATTGAAATCATGCTGCTCATCACCATTGCACGAAGAGCACTCTTTGGGATCATGATCGGCACACGAATGTTACGAAGTACATGCATGCTCTGCTTGAACGTCTGTTTCTCTCTCTCCTCTCTGAGCTCATGCGTGCCGACGAAATAATTGTTCATGTCATCCCACACACGCAAAAAGGCACATCAACATGAATGTTCTCGCTCTGCCCAAACTCTTGGTCATCAAATCTGAGGGATTGAACGTTGTCGATATTTTCAGCAAAGCAACTTCATTCTGCTTCACCAATTGTTGGCACCATAGAACTCGGCACGAAAGATGCCGCACCTTGCCGACGCCGGATCTCTCCAAGATCGCCTTGGCGGCACTGGCATCGAGGTGATGAAAGATCTTGACACGACCATAACCGAGGAAGCCCAGCAGCTCTCGAATCATAATTCCATCGCACAAACTCGAGGCTGCCGGAAGAAGTTCGGCCTCTCCGGATGAAAGCGCCACCACTCTCTGACTGCGGCTGCTTGAGAAAAGAAGGTTTCCTGCTACACTCAGCACGCTTGCACTAACGCTCCTACGAGTCCCTTTGCACGATGCCCAATTTGAGTCGCTGAAGCTCTCGAGCACGATCGATTGATCACCGGCATCACTCCTTGGACCAAGCAACCCTTCACCAGGATCAGTTTTCACAATCATCACTCCGTTGTGTCT